ATCTACGTATTTGATTACAATTATAATTGTATTCATATATATATATATATATATATATATATATATCCATATATATATATATTATATATATATATATATATATATATAGTTTATATATATATATATATATATATATATATATATATATATTATATATATATATATATATATATATATATATATATATATAGGTGCTGTGCTTAAGAGTGCGTATTTTTGTTTGTGGTCGTCCCCAAAATCCTTACAACTTTTTGGTTTATCAAACAGCTTTTGTTAATAGAATGTTTGCGTTTTTACCTCTTTTTTTTCTTTTTCTCACATGAAAAGGCTAACAATGTTTTCATAGGAATGACTGTAATTTGTTTTTTTTTTTTCATCAACTAAGGTGATGATGGTAAAACTAGATGAATGTTCTATGTATTTATGTGTGTAGATGCTTAGGTGAATGCATGTGTTTTGTATGTGAGTGTTTGAATATTTATAGTGTGTGTCGGTGTCTGTGTTCCACTTATAAAAATGAACTTTATTTGAGTTGGTTAAAGTAGCATCTGCTAACAGTACCAACAAAGTCCGGTGTTTAGTGTAGATATCCATCAGCATTTCGGGTTTTTTTTTATTTTTTGTGGAATCGAACAGACTTTAGTGCCGGGATGGTTGCCACGCGTTAGTTGTAATCATTCAAAATATACATTTGTTCGTTTTCCACATTCAACCATTCATTCATCTAATTTTTTTTTATATCACCCATAGCCTGCCGTGTTTATCTTCTATTTTCTTTTTCTTTCAGTATTGTAACTGAAGCAGCTTTATTTCTTCTGTTTTTTTTATCTTAAAAAAGAAGAAGAAAAAAGACGATACACTTTTTTTTTTTTGTTTTGTCTTCTGCATTGAATTCAGTTGCCATTTTTGTTGGTTGGTTGCATAGTTTGATTGTATTGCATGAAAGGTTTCTTGATGACTGAACAGTTGGCGCGTTGTTTCACTACCTGTTTTGAACATGGGATCATCCGTTGAGTTGGTGGATCAGTTGGGGGGGTGAAAACAGGAAATGGTAATTGAAAAGAGAGGATTTTTTTCCTTATCACTGCTGTTTTAAGGGCCTGAAACGTTGGCATTTCTATTTGGGGTTTCTCAACAGTTTTTTTAATCTTATTACCTAAAATTATTTAGTCTGATTTATCTTGTCGTTTTTCATTTTATTACACTGAAAAAAAAGCGTGGGAAATTTGGTTGACTTTTAAACTTTAAATATATTTATTTTATTCAGTTTTATTAGGATTTTTCGTTGTTGTGTTAGTGTAACTGAAATTTTATGATTTATTTGGATGGGTTGAGAAGAATAATTTTTCATTGATTCTGTAGGAGGTAATATAAAAGAACGGAGGGAAACGAAAATGGTGAGTGATAAAAGAAAAAGGTTGTTTTTTTTTATTACTTTTAGCTAACATCTGTCGTAAAGTTATTAATTTCAAGAACAGTTGGACAGTGGATACTATGGATTTAGAACTGGGCAGGAAAGTAAAATAATAGAATTGGATGGGGAAAAAAATTGAATTTGTAAAAGTTGCAAATTCTGTTTTTGTTATTATCAAAAATGATCGAGAGGTGGACATTTATGAACATTTATCTAATTTTTTTGCATTTATTTGTCTTGAATTTTTTCAATGAAAATAGCACTTGCAAACAGTATCACTAAAGTCTGGTGCAGGTGCTGATATTTTGTAGATGTTTTTACAAAGTTTCCTTCTTCTCTCAATTTTCGCATCACTTTTAAATCAATGAACAGCTCATTTTTTTTTTTGTTCAGTTCTACAAAACATTTTATAAAGTTAGTAAAATAGCAATTTAAAATTCTGTTTTGTATCGGGTAATCTGTGCGCTTTTTCTGTTAACATCATAAAATTCAATGAAAAAAAAGCGGGCAGAAGAAAAAAGCTTAACAAATTATAATTAGTTATTTAATAGTGCCACGCATTCGTCTATATCCATTTTTGATTTGATAAAATTTAATTAAAAATTTCTTTTTGGTTCTATAATTTTTAGTATTTTAGTCTTCAATTTCTGTACCTAAAAACAAAACCTATGGACTGCTGATAAGTGTTAATGTAGCAGCACTGAAAATCCGTGGGCTGGTGAACGGATGAATAGTTAAATGTCATTTGAATAGTCATTAAATTCATAACATTTAATCAATTTAGTTCTCTTTTTTTCTTGCTAATTTTTCTTGTATTTTTTCTTCTGTAGGTGGAATTGTTTTTTTTTTTTACTTTGTTTTTGTTCGAAAATTTGTTTTATAGTTGTTGAAAACTTCATTTCTAAAGCTTTTGATTTTAGTCATAACGAAGACAACGAAGGGAGGCACTTTTTCTTGTCAATATGGCTTAATAAATTTTCTCTTGATTTTCAATTGTAAAAAGTTTATAGAAGCACGATCTTAGTACTAATTCTAGTAATATTTATTAAAAAGGTTTTATGTAGCTTTGAGC